CTCACTCTATAAGGCTAATTATAGCGCGTGTCTCTAGCATACAAAGGGATGCTTTTGGTTAAGATGGGATCCACGAAATCATTACTCCATGAAAAACACAAAGTGCAGCTGACCATTGGACTTTCGACGGGGTAAATTTGGAGCAAAGGCTTGGCTGTCAATAATGATACCACTGTACATAAAAAGTTGCATTCCCTATAAACGTCTCTAATATTGGGACGGAGGGAGTAAAATAGTTGAACTATTTTAAATTATTATTTTTAAATAAAAATAATAATACTAATCCTTTTTAAATTTTGTTATTAATTACACACGCATTGGCTGAAGAGATCCCAAGTTAGAAGCTGGAATCTGCAAGCCACGACTCACAAACAGTGCTACACTTCGTCTTCAAACCCCGACTCCTCTTCAACCTCACACGCTACGCTCCGAATTTGGTTTCTCTCCGGTGGATTAGCTCTCGATTTTTCACAATGACCATAATACACATTTAGATGCATGACATGACATGTATCTTTATTTATTAGGAAGGGACACAATTATTTTAAATTTAACTAATTCCAAATCTTCTTGTTAATAAATCATGACCAAACCAAAAAAAATCCCCGATCCATGCCTGTCCCTTTCTTTTTCTCCATCCTCGTTGTGGATGCTGCTGGGTTTCCTTAGGGTGGAAGAATTTGGTTTCACTGTTTGATCTTTCTTGTTCGGATGCACAAATTAATTGTGAGAACATAAGCACTGTTGATGAAAGACAAGTACAAGGCATCCTATGTTTACTGCCGGCCTTTTACATTTCCTAAAAGATGGAATTGACCTGCATATCAATTTTGTAAGCAATCCTAATCGGGTCGGTGTTGGTTGGGAGATGAACCAAAACCATTCGATTATCTCGAATTAAGTACGATTTGATTAAAAATTTGTTTGAGTGAAATGTGTTCGCCAATTAATTTAAGTCGATAGTTTTCAAATACAACAAAAAGTTCGATCGAATTTGATTCGATAAATAAATGAATCAAATTCAAACTCGATAAAATAATCAAACAAACTTGTAATTGGATTCATCTACGCCTCTAAACCCTGAACAACTTTCGCTGGAAGGGCACTGAACGGTCCTTTGAAAATACTCTGGTACAAGCTCTTACTTTTGTTGAACGTAATTGGGGACGACCCAACTAAGAGGCCCTTCCACTCTAGATCAGCGACTCTTTTCTGACATATCCCGATGTTAGATATTTAATTGTGTATTATTCGACACAGCCTGCAAATCACCGAAACAATTTATTAGATCCCATTATCCTTCCTTCGATTTTCGTCCTCTTGTGCATGCCACGAACGGATGAAATAAATACGCATTGGTCCTTTTCCACTCGCGACAGCCTACAAGTGCAAATGCCTCCTAAAGTAAAGTGCCGATAAAGACTGAACTTGATGGATGACTGAAAGATTAGCAACCCTGACGGTCACTTGATGGATATGAAGCGCTAACAACTGGAATTTTGTTGATTACTTCGTCGGCACAAAACAGAGGGAGGACTCTACTGCAGCTTTTTATGTCTCGATCATTTGAATGATCTAGAATTCATGCAAATTGATCACAATAGTTTGTGAAAGAACGTAAATTTGCCTGCCCTCAGTAAGTTGCCATTTGACAGCTATGTTCGCCATAGCCTTTTAATTCTTCATTCCACAAGGCTGCTACTTAAGTGGCACGTAAACTCTCTCGAGTGTTGCTGATGAGTTCCACTTCCACCTCAGAAAGTATTTGCTCAGCCAACCAATTATCCAGCCGCCCGTCTACTTTTTGTTATGTCGGAGGCTGAAACGGGCCAAATGGCTAAAGGGCTTATCTTCTGCATCCGTACCACAGCAAATCATCATCATTCTTGTGTGGAGGATACTCAGCAGACAATGAGATCTTTCTACATTTCAAGATTGTTGAAAAATGAAAGGATGAATAAGCTTTCCAAGTGAGTTTCAAGACTGTTTCTCATTCAAAAGCAGAAAACTCACAGTTTCGAGTATCAATGGTCCAAAAACCGATTGTCAGTAACGTTCCGCACGAACCATCTGATTACTTTTTGACAAACTTAGGTATTCCTAATTGATTTCTTCGGGGTTAAGTCGAAGCTGCTGGTTTTATACAAACCTAAATAATTCAAACAACTTTTAAAACTTGCCTTTTTTTTTTCCCCTTACGATAAGGGAGCTTTACAGTAGTGTCACCCTCACTTTTATGTTGAAGGTAACAGCCCCATGTCCCTCTTCTAAGTATGTTTTCGTAATTTCTACCGATGGGAATACCAACTCTGATGGTTATCATTGTAGTTTACCAACTCTGAGCTTCTTCTTTTTTTTTTTTTTTTTTAATTCCCATTATTGATAGTAATTTAAGGTTTTTTTTTTTAGGAAATACGTGGAATAACTCTCTAATCTCTCGCATGGTATAGTTTTTCTTTTATTATTATTATTTTTTGAAGTTTGTCTTCTAAAATCCAGGATTTTATGCATATGCATGCGACAAGTGAATATGAGCTTTCAAAATCCATAGAAAAATAAACATTAGTTATAAGTTACTCGTGCGTGACATTAATATTTCAGCATGAATTAGAAACATTTTTTTTTTGGTTTATTTGTAAAAAAAAAAAAAAAAAAAACTTTTTTGTTTAATTTTCTTCCTTTACTCTTGGAGTGTTTTAAGGTTATAGGACCTTGGAGTGACATGCAGCTACTACCATTTGAAGACCTTTGCGGGCCTCTGATGAGTCAATGCATTACGATGTCAAACAGACCCAATACGAGAAAACAAAATTGTCTATACCGTGGTGTTGAGGCTAAGTTTGATGGTATCCAAACTAATGACATCTCGAAGCCCAAAAGTAACATTTGAAGGTGTCAAGCCCACCAAACAATTTTGGGCTTTAAAGTAGCTGTGCACTTAATAAGGCACCGTTGGATCTGGCTCGGTGATCTATTTCAAGCAAATCCTTGGAATCTACTACAAAACTGCGCCAAGATTTGCTCTAGGTTTTGTAGTTCCAAGTTCCAACTCTTTTTTTTAAGTACTCCCTCCCTTTTTTTTTATAACTGACATTTAAGGTTTTGCACATTAATTAAGAAAAATTTTTCATTACTTAAATCTGTACACTACTTTCCTTTTGTACCCTCATTAATTATCCAATTCACCCATGTTTTCTCTCACTAGAGTACTAAATTGTGTTGTTTTACTAGGCCAAAAGCAATGCAAACTAACTCCCACCAAACTAGGAGTAGTATTTAAGAACACTGTATTGAAAAAGAGAGATAAAAGGGTAAAATTGTGAAAAAATAATTAATACTGTATGGGAATAATAAAACGACAAATAAAAGTACACTAGAGCAAATTTCTTAAACATCAGTTTCTTAAAAGTTAGTTAATATTAAGGGTTAATTACATTTACCTCCCCTGAGGTTTGACCATATTACCAATCAATCTCTGTAATTTGTCTAAATAACGGTCTCACCCTTTGAATGATCAAACATTTAACAAAAACCCCCTTAATGCCGAAAATGCCCCTTTTGAGGCCATATTGCATTAAAAAAAGAACATATTTTTATTTATTAACCTTCAAGTAATTCAAAAAAATTGAAAAAAGTTTTTACTTATTATTTTATAAAAATCATATTTTTATTTTCATAAATAGTTTTGAATCAATAATTATTTTAAATCTTAAAAATGAATATTAAAAATTAGATAAATTGAAAAAAAATAAAAAAAAGTAATTATTTTAAATCCTCAAGTATGGTTCGAATCTGTGATTCAAGGCATGTTTTCTCAATTCGAATCTGTGTAGTTGGTCAAAGTTTACAAACGCGTACGTTGGCAAGTTTGAAACTATGGCGGTTTGACCCGAAGCACCAGAACTGGAGTGGGTCCATCATCCATGCTCTGGTTTTCCGCATTGCTGCCCCCAATGAAATGTGATTGCGTACATTCATATTATTAAAAATTAACTTAACGACGCGCTTTTATTTTTCAATATCTTTCACTCGCACTTCTTCCTCTTATCTCATTTTAATACTTAAATTTAGTAAATTTAGATTTTAAGTTTTTAACATGTTGAAACGCGTTTAATAATAAAAAATTAAATATTTAAATTAATTAAATGATACTAAATTTTTTAAATAAAATTTAATTTAAAAAATAAATAATAAATTATCTATTTATTACTTAATATTATAAATATATTAAATTTAATACGTGATAATTCAGTAAAATTTAATAAAATTCAAACTTCAAATTTCAGGCGTAAGTTTCAAACATTTCAATTTTCATCGAACGAGCCCTTACCCTCCATTTGCTTACTAGTAGTAGGCCGACTTTCCCAACAAACGACAGCGGATTCCCACCCAAGAAACCAGGCCGCGTTGAAGATTCAAACAAACTGACCATTCAAGTGTAAAAGTTAGAAAAACAAAACAGTTCAACAGAAAGTCACAAGCAACCCGACAAGAAACTGCAGGACGTCTTTGTCTTAACATTCAGGGCCACTCTAGGAGGCAAAACAAAGGTTAAGAAACAATTTGCAAGAGGCATGTCGCCATATTAGAAAACACGTCTAATAACTTCGGTTATCACCAAATATCCTAAGTTTGAACGTCATTTTATTGAACTTCAGAAGATCATAATCATGCCAAATAGCTTTTATGCCAAATAGTCGAATGCAATCATCTTCTGTTTTTTCGATCATTACAGCAGCCTCTTAAGAATGAACTCACTAATTGGGCTATAAATTGGTAAAATTCTACCCAACTGTTTGCGGAATGAGATCCCTGAATTTAGATCAGTCACATTCCAGAAAGGCATAACTTTCACAAATAGACCCAAAAAAAAAAAAAAACCCAAAATTTTCCCCCTTTATTCTGGGGGATAAGTTATTGTAAAAGTAACAATCTCGCAGGTCCTCTATTTTCATCCGCTGGCAAAATCCCAAAAAGCATAATGACCCTCCAAAACTAGGCGGGGAGGGGGTGGGGTCCAAACTCGAAGGCCGCTGCATTACTCCGCTAGTATTAGCAGATTGCAAATTCCGCGCTCCCACTCTGCCATCTACATCAACAGGCATCTCCCCCACCACCACCTCCTCTTCCTCGGTTTCTCCTCGTTGGTAGGTGGCGACTGGCGAGTGGAAAACTAGTCAGAACGGAACTCCGCTGAATGCCAGCATAAACTGAAAAAAAAAAAAAGGGCAGGAGATCACCTATGGGCCAGGCAGCGAGTTGCAGAGTGTCGGCGGCCAGTGAACATGAACTATTCAGTACTGTCCAAAATGGTGAGTTGGAAACAGTTGAAACTATGGTTGATGAAGATCCTACTATCTTGGGACTGACCACTGTCCATGGGAGGCTCTCCGCTCTACACGTAGCAGCTGCCAATGGGCAGAATCAGGTGGGCTTTTGATCTTTACAAGTAGTAGTACAGTGCTACTAGTTTTTCCGTTTGGATACGCACCTTTGTTGGTTCTCGAATCTGGATATCTATAGTTCCTCAACTCTGTTTTCTTGAATTGGTTATTGGTTCCTACTACCCTTTTTTTTTTTCCCTTCTAGGTTCTATCCATGCTTTTGGATCGGTCTTTCCATCCGGATGTTTTAAACCGCCACAAACAGGTAAAGATGAATTGAACTTGCGGTAGTACTACTAGAACAACCGTTCCAGTCTGGGAGGGATACTACATATTCTGACTTGATTGTTCTTCGGTTGAATGATAGACCCCATTGATGTTAGCTGCTATGCATGGGAAGCATTCCTGCGTGGAAAGGCTCATTCAAGCAGGAGCTAACGTATGATGATTGCATTTCTTACCCTTCTTTTTCCTTTCCCTTCTTCGTTTCTCTCCTCTTTTTGGTTTGCTCGATTCACTGCTAGATAGTTACTCGATGGCTGGATTAACTTGTCAATTCTCGTTTTTCAACTTCTAGATATTGATGTTTGATTCCGTGAATGGAAGAACCTGTTTGCATTATGCTGCTTACTATGGTCATTCAGATTGCTTGCAATCTATTCTTTCTGCTGCCAATACCTCCCCAGTTGCCCAGTCTTGGTAATTATCAATGCTTCCACATTTTCTACCATGAACAAAAAGATGAGACAATAAAGGAAGGCACTGAAGTTCTTTCGCGTCAATTGAAATTCCAGGGGATTTGCAAGATTCTTGAACATAAGGGATGGAAATGGGGCAACCCCATTGCATTTAGCAGCCCGCCAAAGACGAGCAGAGTGTGTTCGTTTGCTATTGAGTAAAGGGGCTCTGGTGTGTGCCTCCACAGGTGGATACAGGTATAACTATGCCTTGTGCTTATTTGAGTATGCTGCTTAATTTTGTTACAATGTAGTGGTATTGTGATGGTGTATTGTAACATGGATGATTTCCTTGTGTAGCTGCCCAGGCAGTACACCACTTCATTTGGCAGCACGTGGAGGTTCGTTGGAATGTGTTCGTGAATTGCTTGCTTGGGGTGCAGATCGACTTCAGAGAGATTTGTCTGGGTGAGCTTGCAATCACTTTATGTATTCTATTGAGTTCGTTTATGATTTAAGATTGTGCCCTATTCAATAATGTTATTTATGCTCTCCTCCTCAACTTAAATCAACTGTAAAAGTTAAAAGGGAAGGACTTAAATCAAATCCATGATAAAGAAGATTCCGAGAGGAGGTTACTGGAATGTTTTGTTCTCTTAGAAGCTTTCTTTGCATACGAGTCACAATGGTAAGAGAAAGTGACTGGTTACCTTGACAATTGACATTGAGAAGGATGATAGCAAAGGTCGAGGAGGGGATCTGGAGTCTCGCGTGTGCAATTTGATGGGAGAGGGCCACAAGCTACCAGGACTGGAATACTGAACAACGATCATTGCTAACTCTTTCTAGTCAAAGTGTGAGGGGCGGCTTTTGTTGTTTCTGTAGATCTTAAACCTTCTAATTATCCGTTAAATCATGGCTCAGATGGATCGCTAGAGTTGTTTATAATTTTGACATGGGGTCTATGCAGGAGGATACCTTACATGGTTGCCTTGAAGCACAAGCACGATGGATGTGCTGCATTATTAAATCCTTCAGCTCCAGAGCCTTTGACTTGGCCATCATCCTTGAAGTTCATCAGCGACCTTAGCCCCGAGGCAAAGGCACTATTAGAAGGGGCCCTAATTGAAGTCAATAAGGCAAGGGGGAGGTTGATCTTGAAGGGGATGCCTGACACAGATGTACCAATTGCCGACTCTGTGGCTGGTGATGTTGATCCTCAGGTAATTAGCCTACTGAAACTTTGTCAGTTTCCAATTGAAATTACACGACAGCTAGAATGGCTTGATAAGAGGGTAGCTGCGGACTGCATAATCTTGTTAGGTCCTAAACATGGGTAGCCATTTGCTTGCATCTATCCATAGTATATAGAGTCCTGAAATGTAAGAAGAGGATGATAATTGAGAAAAGAAATTCAGGAAGTATGCTTGGAATATCTCTGGACAGAGGAAGCAAATGCTTCCCAATATTATATAGGAAACTACCATATCTGCTCATTTAACTTGATAAATTGAAACGAGAAAATTAATCAAATAATATATGCATCGCATTCTTGAGCTTTAACCATGAGGGGCATTCATGTTCAATGACAAGAGACTCTCTATCAGGTAAGCAACGTCGAGGTATGCTGCATCTGCTTCGAGCAGGCGTGTACGATTGAGGTTCAAAATTGTGGTCACCAGATGTGTGCCCGTTGCGCCCTATCCTTGTGTTGCTACAACAAACCAAGTCCTTCGACCAATATTATCAAGGCACCCGTCTGTCCCTTTTGCAGAAGCAGCATCACTCAGCTAGTTGCTGCAAAGATCTGTGCCAACGGTGATGTTGAACTGGATTTATGCCCATCACAGCCAAGACGATCACAAAAGTCATTCAACCAGAGTGAAGGTAGTAGTAGCTTCAAGAGCCTTTCATCCTTGGGTTCATTCACGAGGATAAGTGGGCGCAAGTTTGCTGCTGATGGTGATGAGGGGTTCGATAAACGGTAGCCATTTCTCACTGTAGTAGTAATCAGGGAATTCGTCAACTACAGTACAGCGAATTGCACACTACGCACTCTTGAGTAAATAGGGCAAATATTTATTCAAAAAAGTTGCATCGCCAACGGAGGTAGGGAACTGCTAAAACCCTTTTGCAAACAATGATGGATCCATCAATGTCATTTGTTTTTGGTGGATATTGGTTCAGCTCTCATTGGACCAAAAAAAGTCAGGCATTTTAAAGACATAATTATCTCCCTCGAGAACCAAGAGTAAGGGAGACATTTTTTTTGCCTCTTGCCAGTTGCGAAGAGCACAACTGAACAGAGTGGTCGCTAAGTAAGTCAAATTTCCACGGGTAGACTCGAGAGAAAAGCAATCGATTGCATAAGCCTTTCCCCATAGCTCATTACGCCATAATGGCCCTCGGGAGAACTTTTGACTAAGGAGAAGGAGCCAACTCCAACTGTTTAGACATTGGCAAAAGCATCAAGAAATTATAAATCATCTTCTCTAACCCGGGCACTTGAATTCCGCTCTTTTTTTCTTATATTTATGGTGTAGCTTTTAGTAAGCTATAACAATTTCTAAATAGCTTGCAAAGCTCCAGAGCCTCTCCGTAATTGAAATAGTGATTTTACCTGTTTTAGGCGTTCACCTTGTCACTACACCAAATTGAATTTTGTAAATTCAGATATTTGATGCTTTGATAACTTGTACTACTGTTAGTTTCAAAACTTGTAAAGCAGTTAATTTTTAAGATAGAAAGGCGTGGATCCACACCGAAAGGCGTAAATTTAACTGCTTTACAAATTTACAAATTCTAAAGATAGACTTGAGCCTTTCGGTGTGGATCAAAGCATCAAATTTACTCCTCAAATGCCACTTTTTTGAGCTGTGGATCAGCTCTGGTTCTACAATATTCTTCTGTTTTTGGTACATATGGATCATCTCTCATCCCAGAAAGAAAAGAAAATAACCCCAAAAAAAAAAAATAATCTCCAGCATTAAAGACGTCCCTCCGGAGCCTAGTAGAGAGATACATGGCCTTCTTGAGAGTGGCATTTGCGTTTGCTGTAAGAAACATGGATAGCACATGAAGGAAGAGAACTGAATGAGTATTTAGTGTGTCAGACTTCCACACAGACAAGAAAAAAGCAATGGAGCTCCATAAGCATCATCTTGGAGTAAGCCTTCTCCTAAGCTTCTTTCGCAATCTTGACCAATACGAGTACTTGATCGAGAAGGAGCAACACGGCCTTCGACAAACAACGCATTGGCATCTGCTGCAGTCGGAACTCGAGACAAATTGTCAGTCCCATAAATTAGGGGGCTCCGACTCCTCCTGTAAATGCTGGCAGCTAGCCTCTCGGCTTCAAGCAAGTGACCAAGAGACGGAGTGTTCTTAATGCTTACAGCGTCAGTGCTCAGCCTTGAGCAAAGTGAGAATAACCAAGCTTTTGATTTGTAACTACTCCTCTTTTCTCTCAGTGGATCAGGTATTCTGCCCCTTGTTGATCTTCGAGAGAGCTCTAGAAAGCCAGAGATGCCTATGAGGCTTCCTAGAGTGATGCTCTTATCACAAAAGAAAGAACCTGTGGACTGAGACAAGAAAGAGCAGCAAAAATCTGTGAATATGTCCAACGACTACCACAAGTTATTCTAAATAAGCGTGAATTCGTAAGTCTTGGAATCTCATATCCCAACTCCATCAAATGTTGATTACCTTTTCTTGCATGCTGTTCAAATAGCTTATCTAAGTAATCTTAACATTTGACCTGCAAAAGTTTGGAAGCCAATGCCCCAACCAGGCCTAATCCCATTTCTCAAGCCCCAGAACGAGGAGTGAAATTAGGCTAGGAAGCATGAAAGGCGGTTTTGCCCCTGCGAGGTGCTTATTGAAGTCTGAATACGCACACACACAAATCTACTTTGGCCTATGACGCTGGATTATGACGGATCTATATTTTCACAATGACATTGTGTGGCATATGAGGTTAACTGGTCCAGGAGATTAAGAAAAGGGCCCAGCATGGAATTTAATTCGGTGCTACAAAATTCTTTGCTTCTCAGCAGGCGCATTGATTAATTGCTGATCATGATACTAGATAGGAATAAGTTAAGATTTGGAGAGTAGTATTAGCACTTCCAAGTACAATTTTTGATAAATTTAGAAGCACACCGTTTGTTGATTCATTAGATATGAAGTGTGTATGGGCAGTAGGTGTAGAAGTGGAAAATGCCTGCACCCTGCACTTTCCTACTTAATCATGATGACTCATAAACATTTTGGAATTGGTAAGCATAGAAGGAAAAAAAGAAAAAGAAAATTCTTGCTCCTATTATTCTCCTGAATTTACTAGTAGAAACTTAAGGATTATACACAGCATTCCCTCATCATCCAGTTGTTATCATGATTCCAGGAAGAAAAGGAAAGGAGGAGGAAAAGAAAAGGGAAGAGAAAGCAGGGCCCATTAAAATGCCATCATTGGAAGACATGTGAAAAATGTAAAGTGCTTCCAGGTTCCAACTTTTAATCAGCACAAACATGACTCAGCCGGACACAGGAAACTAATATGAAACCATACATGCAGAAAGGAGTTAATGCGTCACTTTTACAGAGAAATTTTTGCAGTCAGTTCCATTATTTATGCATCATCAATCGAAGAAAGGGCTTGAAGTTGTCGCTATTATTATCGTCAGAGACCAACATGAAATGAGGGATATTCCCACCTGCGGTTAGTTTCATGACATGAAATGGTTGCAGACGCACGGGCACCTTAATTCACCCATAATTGCTGAAAATATAACAAATCACTCTTACAAAGAATTAGTGGATTGTTACTACCATTTAGCAAGACATTGGTAATCGGTCGTCTTCAATAATAATCGCCAGGGCAAAAAAAATGCACTCAGAATTTATGGCTAAGGGAAAAAGAAAAGAGAACAATAGGCCAAAAGAAGAGAAACAGGCATGCATCATATTTGTTTTGGATAAATGTCTCTTTAATCGACTACCAGCACACAACCGTACGGCAGAAGATTGCAAACGGTACAATGCTAGAATGCGTCGCATAAAAGTAGTATGCATATATTTATTCACATCCACATCTCCCACCCAATATCAACAGGAAATTAGAAACAGAAAAATTAAAGAGCAGCAGTTTGTGGTCTGACTGAAAATCTGAAAGTGGAGTCAGTGGAAATATCACACAAACCTCTGTATCAAGAGCAGAGGAAGAAGCGGTGGAGGAAGTTGGGGAACCAGTAAGCAACGTGTTGAAGGAAACCGATCCATCAAGTTCAGGGTTTCTGGCTAACCCAACTCTAACATTAAGTGGTCGGAGCCCAAGAGGCCACCCACCCTCTTCCTGAGAAGTTAAACAAATTACTTTACCCCCAAATTCAGCAATCGATTAATAGTAATGCCATGGTGGCTAAAAAAGCCCATTTCAGTTTCAGCAAGGCGTACAAAACAAGAGTGTACGTGCGTGTGTGTGTGTGCGCGGGCGCGCGCGGAGAGATGATAAGAGGAGCAGAAGCTGCCATGGTGCAGCTAGCAACTAAGCAAGTAAAGGTAGTCGAACCTGCTGCGGTGCCATTGCTTTGTCGACTCTTATCTACCCGAGCAGTCCAAGTTAGCTGGTGTGCTGCTCCAGCATGGAGGATCAATTGAATTAATATAGGGGGCTACTTTTTTTTTTGACTGACAGGACAGGACTGTTCTAAGTGAAGTACTCCATTTGGCGTTTAGGAGGGGCAAACAGCAAAAAGGCGGATCTTACTACTCGAGTATCCACTTAGCCACCACCATAGAGTGTCCACTTCAGGATGTGAATTAGCTGTCAATTCCTACGAACCCTACCATGGCTTTTATGGTACTTACCACTCGAGCTGCCCATATATGCCCAAACTGGCAATACTAATGGTCATAACAAATCCCCTCTGAAGAAGCGCGGAGCTTCCCCGAGGAGAGCTGACCTGATCAGCTCGGGGTGTCGATGGGAGAGCTGACTTAAGACCTGCAAAACAGAGAAGAGGAGCTAACAAAGGGGGCCCGAGGGTGGTCCCCGAGGGCACTCCGACGGTCAAGTTAGTTTTCCGATGAGCGAGTTTCACGGGAAGTAGTAACTGTCCGGAGTAAGTTGTCAATAGTGAGCGTACCTTGTACAGTGGATGTGTGTTATTATTTATACCTGCAAGGGAGTCCGACCTCCGTACGTTCCGGGACCTTCCTGATATAATCTCAATCCCGCGCCGAGCGGGATCTCCTCCGACCTCTGCGGGACGGTCTCCTGATCCCCCTGGAGCCCTAGCGGGGGTGCGGCCCAGGGCGGTCGCCAGGAGCCTGGGGCCGGAGCCCAACTCGGCTTTACCTGGGCTGCCACGTGTCTAGGCCCAGTACGGGGCCTCTGCACTAACCCCCTAGATTAGGTAAGGCTTCCAGGCAGACCTAATCTATACTCTGCCACGTGGGAGACCAGCGTCGCACACTACTCTGCCCTGGTCACCTCTGGTACAGTGCTGTCACTGAGAAAACCGCGCCGATCTCCTGGGTCGAGCGTCAAACTCCCAAGTTTCGACAAACTTGATCAATGCGTGCCGACCTCATGGGACCGAGCATCAAATTGCCACTGACATGGTTTAAGCCCCCGACTTTTAAAGTTTTGAGCCTTGCCGACCTCTTGGGTCAAACAAACCCATTCAAGTTAAGGCACAACGTGCCGACCTCTTGGGGCCGAACATCGCACTTTCCGATTTCAAAATTTCAAGCCGTGCTGACCTCTTGTGGCCGATCATCATACTTTGAAGGCAGTCACGCCGACCTCCCGGGTCGAGCGTCGAACTCTGATTTTAGCGGAAATACCAATCTCTTGGGGTCGAGCATCACATTTCCAAGGCAGTTATGCCGACCTCCTGGGTCGAGCGTTGAACTCCCTGATTTTAGCAGAGGTGCCGACCTCTTGGGGTCGAGCATCACATTTTCCAGGCAGTCATGCCGACCTCCTGGGTCGAGCATTACATTCTCAGGACAATCGTGCCGACCTCCTGGACCGAGCATCATACTTTGAAGGCGGTCACGCCGACCTCCCGGGTCGAGCGTCGAACTCTGATTTTAGCGGATATGCCAACCTCTTGGGGTCGAGCATCACATTTCCAAGGCAGTTATGCCGACCTCCTGGGCCGAGCATCATACTTTGAAGGCGGTCACGCCGACCTCCCGGGTCGAGCGTCGAACTCTGATTTTAGCGGATATGCCAACCTCTTGGGGTCGAGCATCGCACTCTCAAATTTCGCAATTTCAAGCCGTTTGCGGACCTCATGGGGGGTTTTTCCGTCCTCTCCGCTCTCCGAGCCCCCCGCGCCCCGGGCCGCCTCGGTCTCCGCTCGCCAGGATCCCTCGCCGGCTCTCGGGCCGGTGCTCTCAATGGTTCGCTTGGATCGTGTTCTTGCCATCAACACAACAATAATTACCTTGCGTTTCCCACAGACGGCGCCAACTGAAGAAGCGCGGAGCTTCCCCGAGGAGAGCTGACCTGATCAGCTCGGGGTGTCGATGGGAGAGCTGACTTAAGACCTGCAAAACAGAGAAGAGGAGCTAACAAAGGGGGCCCGAGGGTGGTCCCCGAGGGCACTCCGACGGTCAAGTTAGTTTTCCGGTGAGCGAGTTTCACGGGAAGTAGTAACTGTCCGGAGTAAGTTGTCAATAGTGAGCGTACCTTGTACAGTGGATGTGTGTTATTATTTATACCTGCAAGAGAGTCCGACCTCCGTACGTTCCGGGACCTTCCTGATATAATCTCAATCCCGCGCCGAGCGGGATCTCCTCCGACCTCTGCGGGACGGTCTCCTGATCCCCCTGGAGCCCTAGCGGGGGTGCGGCCCAGGGCGGTCGCCAGGAGCGTGGGGCCGGAGCCCAGCTCGGCTTTACCTGGGCTGCCACGTGTCTAGGCCCAGTACGGGGCCTCTGCACCCTCAAAAATGAATCATTTCAGAGGGTTAACGGAATTACGGTGAGCTTTGGCTTATTTCTTTGCCGTCTTTTTGAAGTGTCAGCCTATTGGTCGCAAAACTGCAAATCTACCCCATACATGGAGCAGATTCGTACTTGGCGGGTTGCTACAAAATGGGAACAACCGGTACCCAACTCGGCAGCGAACTAGCTCCAGAGTAGTTGGTATCGTATGTCTTATAAGATAACGGAAGGTTAAGAATTTAAATCTTATCTTTCATCAAAATTATTATTTAACGTGATTTTTTTTAAATTCATATGAATGCTTACTACACTTGTACGATTTAATAGTGATTTAGGAGCAAGAATAGATGTAAATAATAACCAATAGGTAATAAATCCGAATTCCGTTACCCTTCTTTTGTCCATCTTCTGGTTTTTCAGGTTTTCCTTTTTTTTTTTTTTTTTTTCTAACCAACCCTAAAGGTAGTTGCCTGCCCTTGCAGGTACAATGTTAAAAATAAGTACATAATGCGTCGTATATGTTTAATGCGAAAAATTACGCCGTATGAGTTGGGGCTTAATCTGAGTCCTGAGTAGAGTAACATGACTGGTTTGCTTCCATATTACCAACAGAATAAAGATTGCGTCAAAAAAATCTGTTTACATTGGCAGAAGAACTCAACAATCCCTTCTTTTTGTTTTTTGTTTTCTTCGTCGGACTTAAATGATTGGAAAATTAGGCCTTGTTTGGGCGTTACTTTTTTCGTAAACATATTTTTTAATCATATTTTTATCTCATATATATATATATCAAACCACTATAATAAATTTTTTACAAAAAATACAATCCAAATTTTCATTACTTTCAAAGTCTCAAACAATAATGCCATTCGTATCTTTCCTATAGAACATAAAAAATTGAAGCTTTTTGAGTCTTACTAATTAGTCCATACTAAAGCTGAAATTTCATTAAAAATTTCCCACACAAAGTAAAACAAAATCACCCTACTCCCCATGTAGTAGAGAATCATAGCTACCACCGTGTTCCGACAAAGCAAATGCAAGTCATTAATTATCAACATGTACCACTTCCTTCAAGAGTGGCGATGTCAGCGGACGCGTTAATATGATCACCAACCTTCTACATGTAATAAAATAGTACAAGCCTAGCCTACATTTCACCAATGTCGAACTGTGTCGGTGTTGTCAAAGTAAACATAGTCGATGGTTTAGGAGAGGTTATTTCCAATTTGATGGGTACAATTGAACACAGGAGATTTGATATTCGTATTTCCCATTTAACCTTTAGCGCTCCAATTCACTCGCTCGCTACAAATATAGCATCCATCAAATGAGTGCTAGAGATTAATTAGAGAGTGCAAATATCACTTCCCTTAAATATTGATATTTTTTTTTTCCAACAAACGCCTTAAACATTGATATAGCGTGTTGGATTTTTGTGCCTAACTGTATGGTAAAATTGGAATTACCAATTGCAAATACCTCTGATCCAGCAACAACACCAGACCTGTAAAAAAGGTTACACACAGGGATGCGAACAGGATGCTGTTCCATTTCATGATCATCATCCCATTCCCCCCGGGAAAAAACATATAGAATGGAATATCATTCACGATTTCAAGGATGGACAGCAATTGTGGGTCCATTACTTTATTAGACCGGTCTTTGAGAGCTTAGATCGACTGGCGGCAACATCAACAAGCTTGTCTGTTCCTGCGACAGGATAGTTACCACAGTACCAGATTTTACAATGCCAAGTTCAGTAGCTATTATCATCGCTTTAAGTACGTATTGCAACAGCACAAATGACTCGAAGTACTAAACACAGATCAACAAGCTTTTCTGTTGATTTATTTAAACTTTGTTCTCGCAACAGTAGAGCTACCTCGATACCAGATTTTACAATGCCAAATTCAGTAGCTATCATCTTCGCTTTAAGTGCATAGATGATTGTTGCATATTTTAAGTGGAAGAGATATTTTGGACAGTTCATAGGGCTCGAATAAAATTAGGACGAGAATTCAAACAAAAAATAAATTCTTTTGAGAAGCTATGTTGGGTTTCGAACCATAAATGTTTGCTGTGAGATCTCTTTTGTACGTCAATTTGTGACCAGAAAATGGTCAACTTCTATTTATAACACACTATCAGATAGCTCCTCGCTACAAGCTCAAAAATACAATGATCTCATCGCATGTACAATGTTATACAACTTACAGGGCAATAGCAATTGTCAAAGCTCAGGAACCGTTGTCATTTTCAGCACAATTTTATTCAGAGTTAAGAATAAGGTCAGCCCGCCCTGAGCTTTAGCAAGAAAATCACACACATTCTTTGACTAGTATTAAAATGCTTGGTTTGGTAGGGAATCTAGATGCTGAGATTGAATTTTGGGTGCAAAGCATTCTAAGTTCTGTCACTAAGCACGGCTTGCACCAGGACGATATTCTCCAATACCAAGCAGATCCTGTAAATATCTGAAATTAAACTCTCTTTCTTGCTAAATTAAGCAGACTGTAAATTTTCTTTTCTTATTAAATCCTTGTTCTAACATAAAAAAACAAAACCTTGTAGAGCAATGTAGCTACAAATTGCAGCCCCAACTCAGGCTAGCACAGGAAGAAGAAAGCAGAAAATGCATTTGATCCTGAGCCTAGATTAATTACCGTATGGTACCAACTCAGATTAGCACCGGAAGAAAAAGGTAGAAAATGCACTTGATCCTGAGCTTAGGTTAATCACCGAACTCATAAAGTACATCAACATTTAAACCAAACCTTGAGTTTATGACAGACTTTAACAAAGATGCATCAGACGTTTCAATTTGTTTCCAAGGGGTTGATTTTTTTTCGGTTATGGGCTTGAAATAGTACCATTTTTAGCCATTTCAAGGCAGGGATTTCACTTTAATAAAAAAACCTCCTAATTTCTGAATCCACTTCCAGAAGACAACGAAAGATCATTCTGTCCAAAATTAGCAACCACAAGTGATTATGAAATGAATCTGTAGACGCTTCCCGGCAAAAGAGCTTTTCCCATTATTCCTATTTTTTGAATCAAAAAATTTCTACTAAATCTTTCTTTATTTTAATTTTATTTTAGTAAAAATCTTTCTTAATTATGAACACTAATTGTTCTTGACCGACTTTGCTTGCAGCAAATCATAATAAACCTTTTAGAAATCACGTGCTCAAAACATATGAGCCCGTGCATGTAAACATCCATAAGCTTTTACAATTCATGTCATGATTTTGGTCATGCACATATCCGTGTAATTCGGCATGCAGTTAGACACACGCACATATGCAGCATGTATATGTATGGAAACCTCAATGATTATTCATGTACAAGGGCCATGATATGGCAAATTCCTCACCAATAATTAAAGAATGATAAAAGTAGCACAATGTTCAGCATTCAACAGTCTAGTCTAACTGAAGTTATCATGTCCATAATGCATTTACGAAAGTAACGAAATCAGGTAAAAGATGAGCAAAATGAAGAATAATTATACACCTTATGGAGATGCAGTCAGCAGAAGCATATACCACTAGGGGTATGTCAGAACAAGTCTGTTGAGAAGGAAACCACCAACCTGACATGCCTTATTTTTGGCTCGGGTTTCAGCTGTGCTTGGAATATCATGATTTGGCTTCAGAAACCTCTTTTCTTGCCTTTCACATGATCCCCATCCATCTGAATATCTACCACCTCTAGGTAAATGAACAATAAGAAACAGAATTCATACAAGAGCCATTGATATTTCAACAGAAAATAAGATCCTCTTTCAAAAAAAAAAACACTCTGAAAAGGCAAATGACATACTGCATGTATGCCCGAACCACAAATTCTGCTCGCAGAACATTACGGTTATCATCAAATTCAATTGTCTTATCTTTAATTTCAAAGGATAGGTTGAAGTAAAAAGCTATCTTCCTCCAACCTACAGCAGAAATTTGCCACTAAACAAAATCAGTCAAGCATGGCTGACATATAGACCAAAAAGAAATAAAATAACAAAAATTGGATGCTTTGATGGATTACCTGACTTTTTAATGTAACGGTATCCAGAAATCAGGGTGTAGTCATTTTTCTCGAGAATCTGTAGAGCAATATGATTAGTATCATTTAATCATGCTGCACCACACATTTTAAACCAACAGGAGAACTAAGTTTCCGGCTTGGTAATTTATTCTGAATTTATACACGTCCATAATGCCCATTAGCTCATCTTATACTTCAGAAATCTGCTTCATTTGAAAAATCTGTTGTAAATTTAGAAGTTGAATGCCAGTAAAGACAGTACTGACGCTTTTTTCTATGCTTGAATTAAGCATAAGAAATTACACAACAGGCATCCACGGGAGTTAAATTGTTCCTCAAATAAAAAAGGTATAAATTATAAGGATATCGCTACAAGAGTAACAGTGAAATGTAATGGAATTCGTCAAACTATTCAGCAAGTCCACTAGTATATAGGGGAGCTTGAGGAGAGTAGAGACCGAAAGAATACAGAGCAGCTCAGAAAAAGGAGAAGCAAGCATTGTATATATGACCTAGAAACTTAAAAAAAAAAAAAACTGATGAAATTAAAGCTTTAAATTTACCGCCATAGCTGCATCTTGATATTCTTTGAACAGTGAAACAGTCGGAAACCGACCAGACAAGCTATGCCTCGTGAAGCTCTCTGTTTCTCTGTCCTCGTGATAATCCGATCCAGAGGGAGTATTACCACTGGTATAAAATCCCGTGATTGCACAGCTTTTGGTCTCGGACGGGGAATGCAGCGGAGGCGTAGTCGGCGTGCGCTGCACGTGCTTCACCAGGGCTAAAGGCTGCGGACTCATTTCACTCAGCTCCGACGCACACCGAGGGTGCGATCTGGGGAGTTTGTGCGGCCTGTGGTCGTGTTGAACCCAAGGCTCCTGCAAAACCTCTCCGTCGGAGTAATTCTGGTGGCTCCTGGGGTTTTTCGGGAGTTTAGTTTGAGGTGAGGGAATTGGGAAGGGGATGGGGGAATTGTGCTTGAGCGGGAGGGATTTGCGAGATTTAGAAGCGGAGTAGGCGGAGAGAGAAGCGGCAGCGGCAGAGTCGATGACCGCCCATAGTGCGGCGTCGTCGAGATCCTTGTCGGCGTCAAAGGCGCAGTTGTTTGGCGACGCCATTTATTTGAATCTGGATAATCCTATTAGAGTAATCAGGTTGCTAATGGGCCTTATGCAAACTTATTGTAATGCAGCCACTCTAGTTGCCCCCCGATTCAACGGATCACAATCCCGCCTCATGACAGTTTGAATTTTAGGTTAAATACGGCGACGTAGCAGGGGGCTTTGAACTTGAAGCTCCCAAGCCAAGCACAGCATTTTCAGGTAAATTACATAGTCCTCCCTGAGGTTTAAGTAATTTTTACAAACGTCCCTTTAAGACTTGTGCTTTCTCCAAGGCATGGCAACCAGAGTGACAAACATCCTACCTTGCCCCCGCTCCCGCTCCCGCTCCCGCCCTATCTCGTTTCCCTCCACGGACGATAGTTTGATCATTCGAGTCCAAATATCCTCCTTTTTTTTCTCATAATCATTTGTCAAATACTGTCTGCTAAGCAAAAATTACATTAAAAACTAGAGTTTGATGATGCATTTTGATGAGATAATCTCTTCCAATTTGCACATCTAAATAAATAAAGATTGGCAAACATTGAGGCGTCATAAGTATGCCACAGAAATTCTTCAGTTTTTTTTTTTAAAAATCATTAAGCATTCATTTTTTGGTTTTTGGCAAGCAATTGCATAGTATTTCACTACAAATTGTGGAAGTTCTTTAACCAATTAAAGCCTCTTAGTACATAACAAAAAACAGATCAGAGTATACCTTCAACTTCTCGACATGGCAGCCTGGGTTGCCCATTTGAGTGGCAGGCGAATGGATGAAAAACAGAAAAGAGAGCTGTGGAAGGAAGAAAAAAAAAAAAAAGGGAAAAGGGTAAGAATTTGGTAACTTAGGCTTCTTCATATAGGTGTTTTATGTTTATTTAATACAACTAATCGATATTTTACGTTTATGACTCCTATTATATTAGATATATATATTTTATTTAAATAAATCAATTTAAGCGGGGGATGGGACAAGGGTATCCTCTCCCATCCTCATCCCATTACTCCCATGCGGGACAGGCTCCTACTTCGCAACGGATCTTCTGTTTCAAACCCTGTCTCACACCCTATCTTCTGTTTCAACGGAACTTCGCAACGGAAGCAGCAGCTCTTTAGGTGCTTGAATTAAGGAACTGGTTTGCTGAGCTAGAAGTCTGACTTCTTGCTTCATCATTGTTGTTGTAAAAGTCTCGCTAAACAGAAAAAGAAATTGCTTATGCTTGCAGGGAGAGAGAAAGATATCTGTTTTGATTGTTTATGATAATACACCATAAATGGCATAAGTGGTTATAGAGTTTATGATAATACACCATCAACCAAAATCGGTAAGTTTTATTTTTGTCAATGACCCAGTACGCAAACAACAAAAGCTAAGTTAACATAGCATCCAAAAATAAAACTCCATCTCTCGAGCGGAAGTACCCATTACCCAGGACTCAAAATTTCCAGAAGCGGAGTGTTTGTGCTTCCGTGTTTGTGCGGGAAAAATCTTCTTGGTGGGTATGCAACGGAAGTGCTAAAGCTGCAGGTTCACCTTGTTATCATATGGTGAAGATGATGACGAGAGGACTTCCGTTGTGCACTGAGTTTTAGGGCTTTTTTTAATTGATAATTGTGATTTTATGGGGCAGTTTTTATTTTAATCGGTTTTGGTTGCAGAGAATTAAGGTTTTTTGCCCGGTTAATCAATTAATCAATTTAACATGGTTCGGGCTGGATTGTTTGATAGTTTGGTTTATTTTGGGACACTTGTCAAGATTAGAAGAAGTAGGATAGGGTGTGAAACAGGATTTGGGACAGAAGATCCGTTGTGCTCCTACTTCCATTGTCATTCCTACTTTTTCATTACAACTCATTGCAGGAAAATGATTACTCATGAAATCCAGCAGGAATATATTGCAGTTGAAGTTTGAGAAAAAAAAAATGAAATCCAGCAGGAGAACGCTTGGAATACTGATGATATAACCTGGATCCTACCAAAAAAAAATGATATAACCTGGAAACTGGAAAGGAGACTCGGATTGTGACAAATTGTTTTACAATCTTTAACCTATAAAACTGGTAGTGGAAGATTATCGTTTATCTTTCCATATAAAACAGGAATGCCATAGCCTGTGGAGATTTCACCTTTATAGACATGAATATATTGGACTCACATGAGCATTTCAAAATCGTTTACGGGTTTCAAGTATTTGCGTGACAAATAGAAGACGGCCTCGCGTCGGACCCGCTTATTAGTTATTACACATTATGATGCAATTGAGTAGTAGTCGATCGGATAATTTAAAAAAAAAAAAAAAAAAATTTCCTCGTGTGTTCAATCAAAAAACAAATGACTCTCCTACCTGTGCTAGTTCATCCTAGTAAAATTGTATAGCCAGTGTGGCCACAAACATCAGCGCTGCTAATACCTTTCCCGTATTTAAAGCGAACGCTGAGGAAATATCAGGGGAGTTTACGGAGTTCACATTTCCTGAAACTTCGTCTTTCACTTTGATGCTCGAAGAACAATTGTACCTTGTCCATCCAATTTTCTGGTTTTCAAGATCATACACAACAAGCTTGTTTGACAATATTGTGTCTCCCAATAAAATCAGTTCTTGTCCATCTTGTGTCTGCAATCCACCCCTCTGAAAACCGATACACCACTCATTGTCTTGAAGGTGGACGAAATATTCATGCGGCAAAACTGGCATGCTAACTGAGCCGGCAAAATGAAAAGTTATGGTTGGGAAACCATCGTCAATGTTGCCATTGAAGTAGAAGCATTTGAGCTGCTGCTCAACAATGTGAGTCTTGAAATTAGATTGCCGTGCGGTGACCTTTTCCATGATCAGGTCGTAGACTTCAGCAGGAAAATAAGCCAAGGTTGCACCGCTGTCGATCACCGTCTTCCGTCCTGTGTCAAAGAAGCTCTCAGTTGGGATGTCAAAAATTTCACCCTCTATCTCGGCTTTTTTCATCATCACATTGTAATGTTCGAGTAGGTCATCACCATCATCCGCCACCAAAGCCGTCGAATTTACCATGGGATCCACCACTTGTCCTATAACAAATATCCCTCCCCCATTCTTGGCATCCAGGCAGTGCGAAAATGTTTTCTTAACCTTTCCGGACTCAGCGAGCTGGGATATGATGGAGGAATTGGCTTGCCCGAAACCGACTATCCCGCTAACTCTGTCCGTGGATGTATCCTGTGTCCCTGATTGCTTAACTGAGCACCCGAAAGATACAATCCCGTTGGCGTTGGGATGCGTTTGAAGGTTCCCGGTGACCTGATCGAATCGGATGGTGTCCGTGACGAAGAAACCCGACATTGTGCTCTTATCAGCATACGTAATGGAATATTCACAGGGCTTTGGATCCTTGCAAGCCGAATACTGGTTGTTGTACATAAGAGCGCAGACATCTTGATCGCAAGTCACCTGCTTCCCACTTTTGGAGTCGTTCAAGTCATACACCGCCAACTCTATGCCGAGGCTGCTTTTCTTAGGACAGTTGTCGCAGCCGGCGCAATTCACCCACAGAATGTCGCTTCCGGTATCCACCTGGACGTAGAAATTCCTCGGGGGAGTCCCAATTGCAAGCTTTGTGTAATAGAGGCCGGAGCCGGTGACACGGCCATCACCGCCCAAGGGAAAATCCAGGGCGGCGAGTTTTCTTCGATGACGCTGGACGTCGTGGGCCTTGAATGCCGTCAATGTGGACCTCCTGCCATGCCCAAGCCCTCCGTATCTGTGTTGCACCTTCAACACTAGATTACCGCTTGCCAAACCGCTACGGAAAAGCAATGCAACGACCAAGCCCAGCCCCAACAGCAACACGCCATTGCTCCTCCGCAAATTCATGGTCAATAATGGGATTTTTTTTTTTCCTTCTTTTTCTCTCACTATCAAATTGGAAATCCCCGCTGGAGACAATGACAGAGGGCGGGAATTTGCCAATTATTAGTGGGGCGGCAGGCACGGGTGGGGAAGAGGGAACAAGTGGCAAATGCTGCTTGGTAAAACTTACAGATTAGAGAAACGTCGTGGAACCCTGGGGAGGGGAGAGATTTGAGTCAGAGTCTCCAGTTTCGATATTTCTATGGTGGGGCTGATAAGGAGAAGGTTCGTTTTTTGACCAGAAAAACTAGCGAATATTTGATTGGAATGCAACCTGTGGTTCAAGACAGAGAGCCGGCAAGTGCGTGCACTCTTTATAGGATTAATAATTAATTGCCCATCTCAGGAAAGAAACAAACGCTCCTAGTAGAGCCAAGAGTTGGGATGAAAATTAATTTCTTAAGGACCCCAACAAAAAATAAATAAATAAAAGAAGAAGAAGAAGTTAATTAAACCATTGCTTTTTATTTTTAGTTTTGTTTTCTAACTTTGCTTCATTTTTTTGCTCTCCTAATTAACTATATCAAATGAATTTGTTCCTGAAATGGTAACAACTAACAAAAATAGCATTTATATGCTTGTATACATTGTCACCAATTTTTATTTCTTTTTTTTTTTTTTTGAAGCACCAAGTTTTATTTCTTGGACTTGGAAAGATATATAATTAAGAAATCTCAATATTTGTTGACACAGAGAGTAATTTCGTCTTGCATGCAATGGATTATTTTTACGGTGTACCAGTCAGTACTGAGCTCTCAAAGAATACTAGTGTACTCTCCACTCATTTAAAGAGCATTCATTTTTGTACAGTACAAAAATGATGCTTTGGCAGCCTTTCCTACAAACGGAAATAGTCAAAGTATTTTTTTGTACGTGCATTTGCCTTCAGCGCACGCATCTCACCAAGGACGAAGCGGTTTCCAATTCACATCCTATGTAACGTTGCAATCATGCAAAGAGGCATCCTATCCTATTCCTATCCGGACACACCTATATAAATTACACCCATTTCAACCTCAAATCCGTTGAAAAGTCTTTCAAGCCTAAACATACATCGGATGAAGAATATTAGCCATTTCTTGCTGTTGGTCGGCTGTCCCTTTGGACATGCAAGCAAAGCCGTACGTCCAGTAATTTCCAAAGGAAGTTGCGTGGCCCATTGAAGCGGACCATCCACTAATTAATACCAATAAGTGGAGAACTGGAGAGGGAATCAAAGGAAAGAAAGAAAGACCAAAAAATGCAAGGGGAAAATTAAGAGACCAAACAATGTCAAAAGCAAACAACAGCAACGCAAAAATCATTTGTTACTCCTTCCTTCTGTTCTCTCTTTTAAGGAAGTAAATTTTTTTACTACTAGGGTTTATTATGTCTACTGAAAGCAACAAAAATTTGATGCTGACACGGAGATTTGGCAGAATGGTGGTAGCAAGTAGTAGTAGTTAGACTAGCAGTGTATATACGTGCGATACGGCCAGGTCAAACAAGCCAAAAAAAAACATCAAATCAGCAGAAGTAGGCTTTTCCCAAGAAACATAACAAATCCGTTGAGAAATGGTTGACTTGGTAAGGTGTCGTGTCACTTAACAAATCCCCAAAAAACCGTTTGGCAGCGGCGGTAGTTATTAGCCTTCCTTGGGTGGACTTTTTTTTTCTTCTTCTTTCAGATTTTTCCCCACCCGATATGAAAAGGACGTTCGAGTTTCCATCGTCCCAGAAATGCCCAGTGAAAGTATTGCAATTTCTGGATTATTATATGATTATCTTTTTACTTTTCATATATATAAAAGAAATATAGACTAGAAACGACATCTGGCATGTCAATGATACCAAAGAAATATTAAATGAATGGAATTGAGGTATGGATGGAATATAATGGAATAGAGCCACTTCGAATTTCACACAAAAATAAGGCATGGAAGGGAGCCACTACGAAAAAGTTCCGGAGGAGGTTACGAAGGAAGCTTCTATCAACAAACATGTCTACAATGAAAGTTACAAGCAAATGCGGAGTAGCACTAACATATCGTAGTATGCCAATAAAGTACGTAAAATCTTAACAGAATTTAATCATATATAAATTTAGGAAATGCTGGTAGTATATACTATCTCAATAGTACTTACTGGTATGAGAAGTTAGGGGTTTGAAACTTTGAGTGGACAAAGAGATAGAAGCCGCTGCGGGGGTGCAGGCAGAGAGGCAGGCGCAGGTGCTATAAATGACTGAGAGTAACAAATCTGCACCGGCCTTAAATACTACTTATGATTTAATAGCAGCAGGCAAGGATGACTGCAGTGAATGTTTCTTGAGACTGAGAGTGGAGGAGCGGTACTGCACGCACAAACACGCGTGTCCTTCTTCTTCTTCTTCTTCTTTTCTGTTTTTTTGGGCCACTCAACTACTGCTAATTAATCATCTTGCAAATGTCATCAGCCTAGGATACCAGCTATGTACATGTGAAGAAAGTTTGACGAACCTAATTAAGCTCAGCAGCAGTTAAGCTCCAAATTTCTGCTTTCTTGATGCTTCTTTCCTGGCTTCATTCAACAGAGTTGTTCACCAAATTGCTAATCAAATCTCCCAGCATACATTTACATTGCGCCTTTGAGCAACAAAGTCCCCATAAATACACAGGTATTGCACGCTTCATCCAGTCTGCATGATTAAAAAAACCTAGTGGATGAGACTGAAGAAAAAAGAGAAAAAAAAAACTAGCTGGTGATTCTTCCCAGAAATCCCAGTACAGTGAGTAGATTGACTCATTAAGCAGAAGACAGGAAACCACAAATCATGGAAACTTGCTGCGTTGCATAATGGCTGAATAAAAATATAAGGACAACCATGTTTAACTTCTCAATTTTCAGATGCTATACTAGAAAACACAAGCTCATGACTCCCATAATATTCGTGGCGGCTCTACTATATTTTAATATCCGTCTGAGAAAAATCACGTACGGATCATGAGAGAGGATGTTTAATTTGCTCCCTGCTTTGGAAGAATACCAATTTAATTAGTTTGGCATCTCACATTAATTACATTCAAGGAAGATATAAAGGTCCCATGAACAAACAAGACGACAACACCAAGCATATATATCCACCATCCACAACACAAACAACATATTCCCAGAAGCTGAAAACAGTATCATCCAGATCCAACTCTATTTCGCATTACGCTAAATTACAACAGAAGAAATCTATTATTATTATTACTACTATTAATGGTACTATTAATGCCCAGATCTCTCCCCATAAAAGGTAGTATTACAGCTAATCTTGAATGGTGAGTTTAACGGCAGTCTTTTCAAATTAAAGAGGGCACCTCTTCTACACTACAGAATGCCAAAAAAAAAAAAATTAAATTAAATTTCCCAAAGATATTCCATCATTGCCTTTGCTTTCCCCTCTATGAAGATTTCGGAAATAAAGAGGAAAAGTGAATATCTACAGTGTCTTTGAAACAGCATAGAACCTCGATTGGAAAGGACGTGGGGTGCAATAAAGCAATTCTCCACGTCTATGACTCCAAATCCTGTGGGACTATAGCATACGAAATTTAAATCATTGATTCTAGGAATTTCAACCAAGACTAGGAAATTAAGTACTAGTAAATATCTGATATCTTTACGTTAAATTTGATTTCTTACCGCGGAAAAATAGATAATCAAAGTTTATTCGGCCGAATTATGATCATGATCTCTTCGAGCTTTCTTGGTCTTGCCGTCCGCATCATCATCTTGAATCAGTGGAGGGAACATTGACTCAACCTCTGAGGACAGATCAAGATGGAGGGCTCGGCGTGTTGCTGTTGGAGAACCTTTTCTTTTAATGGATGCCGGGTTTGATTTCTGTGTGGTTTTCTTGGGAGCCGGTGGGCATCGTGTGATCACTGGGATTTTGTGACTGGGGGACGTTGGAGTTCTGAAACCCTCATCGTCATCTGCTACCTCCGCCGTGGATGCCCCTACTGACAGTGGGCATGGCTTTTCCGATTCCGTTGATGAAACTGATGTTTCACCACATTTATCTATTTTATCATCATCATCATCATCGGCGTCGAATTCTTTCTTTTCTTCTAAAGGATTTTGTGGAATTGAGGAGGAAATATTCTTGGGTGCAACTTCTTCGAGCCCATCTGAATTTCGCGACGTGTCTTTTGAAGAAATCTTGGATTTTGACCCTTTCTCTTCTTCTCCTTCTTCTCCTTCTCCTCCTTCTTCATCTTCTTTAAGGACAAAATATTGTGGCCTTGACATACCCAACGACGAGTGTGTATGAAAATCTGGGCACATCAATTAAGATAAAAGAAGCTCAAGACCGAATTGAAATAGGAAGGTTTTCATTTGGGACCCAAGTGGAGAGAGGGCTATGAGGCTGGCTGCATCTATATGTATGTATGTATATTGTTGTAGTTAACTTGGACGAGAGAAAACTAAATATCTACACCACAATCTAATATGGTATTTAAATTTTCAGGAACAAAAATTGATGTGAGCTTCTTGGAGGATGGTTGATTGATGTAATCAGTAGCAGTAGTATAAAAAGTTGGTGTATAAACAATACTGGACTCTATTTGAAGGCAAGAAAAACTGGAAAAAAATAAGATGGTGAAGGGAGAGGGATAAAAATTACTGCTAGAAAGAGAGAAATCCGTTCAGGAAGGAAGATGGGGGTTTTCAAACCGAAAGCCAAAAGGCCAGGCCGAAGTCCGCTGACTCCGAAACTCTCCTCCTCTCTCGTCTCGACTCTCTTGTTGGCTGTGGCGAAGGATCCGATGCAAAGCTAACTATCAACTCCCTTCCCTTTTACTCTTCATCAGATTATAAACCGTTTTATGTCCCTCCCTTTCTCGCTTTCTCGTTCAATATTTCCCTTCTGAGAAAAAATCCGGGGTGCAGCTGGGCCAGAATCGGGTACGACCTGCTGGAACCAAGACTACCGCTCGAGTGGACCACGCAGACCGAAGATAAAAGTGCGAGGATGACCCACCATCCCACGTGGCGTCTGTTGATTGGCAAAGGGCCACCAGGGACAGCCAAGCTTTTTCTCCCATACGGGAGAATTTATGTAAGCCATTTAGTACGAAATCTGGAGTGTGCTTGCTGGGAATTACTAGTTGCTTTTGTTTTCTGATCTCTACGCACTTTGATGCATCTCTGCACGTGCTGCTGCTAAATGGGGACCATCTCTGGTTCCTAAATCTTCCAATTTCTCCTGATATTTTCACCCACCATCATTTTCTCGGCTGCTTACTTTTTTTTTTTTTCTTTTTTTTTTGATAATTCTGATGCTTGTTTTAATGTACTAGCAAAACCCCCCATGCCTTCCACTATTACAGCTCAGAGGACCATCAAGTTTTTGTTTTGTTTTTTTTTTGTGAATTCCCCAAAAAAAAAAAAAAAATTGCACCTATATATGGAGTGTACTTTGTACCACTCAGCTTTTCTTTCTTTCCTCCCTTTTTTCCTCTTTCATCAGTGGGTCGAACAAAATAAAAGCAAAACTATTGTAACGGCAACTCTTATGGAAAAAGGATGATGTTTTGGAGAGTATTTGGAAAAGTAATATTGTATCAATTTATTGAAAAAAAAAAAAAAGTGTGCTTGAAATCAAATCATATGATGGATTGTTAGAAAACAAGCCATTTGGATTGTTAATTAGTTTTCTATGAAAAGTTTTAAAAATATTCTCTTGACACATTTTCTCCCTACTTTTTTATTGTACATACGTCAGTAATTTTTTTACAAAAATTCCAATCTAAGCGAGCTTAAATTTATAGATTGAAAAAATTCTTCACCATCTATCTTTTCATTATTATAAGTGAATGGCATTAAATTGCAATGCCCAATCACTTAAAAGAACTCCATATATCTTTATCTATCTCTTTGTGTTTTAAAGTACACCGAGCATATTTAAATTTATAATTTCATGTAAATACATTTTTGTGCCATGTTGCAATATGACCCCCGACTCTTACAAAATTATGCATGTTTTGTCCTAAACTCACTTTTAAATAGGGGTTCTGAATAAATTGGGGTAGATTATAGTAAGAGGGTGAATCTTTGCCGTCTGGCAATATGACACGGACTCTCAGAAATTGGTGAAATAAATCATTAAATCCAACCCATGTGTATATGCAGGCTGTTGCCTACACAGTCAAAGGATCAATTGAGTTGCGACTAGAGTGGCCTTAACGTAGATAGTATATATTGTTGATGTTATCCAATTAAAATTAAAATTTTGCTTTTTTTTTTTTTTTTTTTTTTTGAAGTTTCACTAGATTAGTTGCAACTCAATTTGAACCGCAAATACAGACCACTGAGGTTAAAAAAGCATACAACTTACTGTGTTATTAATTCTGGATTGAATAAATTTTTTCAAGCTTGTTCACTTTGTTTGCTGTGAAATGCATGCCGTCTATCAAATTTCTTTGCCATCAAATGTTTGAAACATTTCAAATTTCTTTGCTTTGGGTCCAATTGGGAAATGACTAAGGTTGGGAACTAATGAGTTGTGAATTTTGTCTATCTTTGTATTAGTGTTGATGTCATCATTTATGGGTTAGTTGTATGTAATCTTGAAGAGGCATGTTAGCTGGTATTGATCTTAGTGTTGTAGGTTGCTTATCTATCTTACACAGGCTTGGGATCTAGTAACCTAGGATTCTTCCTTGATAGTAGCAGTTGTTGCAGATTTGGTAAACCTTCCAAACTTATCTACGGAGTTAGTACTCCAATTTTTTTTTTTTGTCTACAAGTTATTTTAGGTATTGAACTGTGTAGGTCTAGATGGCCTTTCTTCCTTCCAACCCCCATATACAGGTACAACCTGGTTGAATTCCTCTTGCCGATTGACCCCTAAAAAAATGAGGAAAAAAATATAGATACTGTAATAGCCACTGATGCAACGGGCCAAAATATCGCGATACAAAATATCTATGACTCGAGGTGAGGGGCGAACATGAGCGTAAACTAAAGCAGGGAAGTGGTGTCGGAGTGCCATGGTTTTCAGCATCATCATAAACAGTACAACTTGTAGGAAACACCAACCCAGCCCCACAACCACCCATCAATGCGTGTAGGAGACGCTCGGATGATGAAGGCTTCGTTGACAGTAGTGAAACCAGCCGGCATTTAATTAATTGTGTTGGTGGTTTTTTAATTTCCCCAAAATCGTAATATTAGCAGCAGATTTGCTCCTCAATGCAGGATCAAGCGGTATCAACAAAACAAAACACGCACATGCATGCTTCATGATCATGATTTTAGCTCGCCTCGCATTTCCACCCACCGCGTTCCCCCGTCTCTCGATTATCTCGCTCTCCCGCAACTTCCCCAATTTGAACCCCCTTTACTTTTTTTCTTTAAAGGGAAGAAGCTTCCCCTTGCCGTCTAATCCTGTCAAGATTTTTGTTGAATTACCATCTAAAACTTAAAAAAAAAAAATCAGACCCGCCAGAGATTCTTGTACGTTAACATGCATTTCTTATCTGGTAACCTTGTCAGAGGATTTTTTTTTTTTTTGGCCAATAATTAGCTTATAATTTTTATGTCAAACATCCAAAAAAAAAAGAGTTACCTCTAGAGGTTTTCTCCAGAACCTGCAAAATTTTGTGCAGCGTGCGGCTGTTAAGTTCGTCCAATGAGTGACTTTCG